TTAGTTTAGTTTAGTTTAGTTTAGTTTGTTTTTCTCAGAGGTAAAAGGTCCAATTACATGACTACCTTCAGATGGTGGATCAGCACCTAGAGAGAACCTCTACAGCCCTGAAAGTCAGAAGACAAGGACAACTAGATGAGCCCCAGATACAGATCCCCAGTAAAGACCTTGTCTCTGACGGCCACCGGGACAAGACCACAGGAGCCAGTTGAGTCCTCTGCACAATGTGAATTTGATGCAGCCTGGAATTGAACTGCTGGTTTCGTCTGGCCAGAGGAGAACTGGCCCCCCGACTGAGCTTGGCATTATTGACACACTATTTTCCTAATTAATGCTGAACAGTTGCTTTGACACAATCTGTATTGTTAAAAGCGCTATATAAATAAAGGTGACTTGACTTGACTTGACTACATCTAAATAAACAAATCACAAATTTCAGTAGAATGACCATCATATCAAAACACTAGTCATTTTTGATCACAAAAGCTGTAGCATAAATTTTTGGGCTTTTTTTCAGTTATATTTTCCAGCATTTCTTGCTGTGGCTCTCATTTCCCTTAAGTTTTGCATGTTTCCTTTTTATGTTTCATAATAACTTTTCCTATAGTTCTGAGGTTGGGCCATTCCTATATTCACAATTTTCATGTTATATATTTTTTTAACTTATAGAGTTCTAAGCTTCACAGTGTTAAACAGGAAAATAGTTTGTCAATAATGCAAGAGAGAGAGAGAGAGAGAGGGAGAGAAAAAAAAAAACTTTGGATGGGTAAATGCAGAGCACTAATTCTGAGTATGGGTCACCATACTTGGCCACATGTCACTTCACTTCACTAAAGTCAGCTCATAGATGATTCATCATCCAGTTCAGCTCTCTTCCAATAGTGTCTGTGCAATCAGTCAAGCGTCCCCAACTAAGCAAGCCAAAGGCGACAGTGGTAAGGAAGCAAAACTCCATCGGTAACAGAAATGGAGAAAAAAAGCTTGGAAGAAACCATGCAGGCTCAGTTTAGGGGGACCAGTTCTCCTCTGGCCATGCCTGGTTTAATTCCAGGCTGCAACACAGGTCAGATTGTGCAGAGGAGGACGTGTCTGGTTCCCGTGGTCTTGTCCTGAAGGCTGTTTAGTTGATGAGGTCTGCACAGAAGATCTGTCTTTGGGGTGCATCTAGTAGTCATCTCTAGGTGCTGATCCACCATCTGATCTGGAAACGGACTGCATCTGGGTGGCTACGGTGACCACGGAATAAGAATGAAACAGGCTAATATTAGTCTGCCATTAGATATTAGTCTGCCATTAGATGCCATTCTTCTTACGAGTACATCGAGTGTTATGTTAAGTGTTCCTGGTTCGGTTGACCTTATTAATGCAGCCTAACAATTCTTGTGTGTGTCTGCCTCCCAAACAATGCTAGGTAGATTGTTCCAGGGTTTGGGTGCTAAATAGGAAAAGGATCTGCCGCCCACAGTTGATTTTGATATTCTAGGTATTATCAAATGGCCAGAGTTTTGAGATCGCAGCGGACATGAAGAACTATTATGTGAAATGAGCTTGCTCAAGTACTGAGGAGCTAAACCATTCAGGGCTTTATAAGTAATTAGCAAGATTTAAAAATGTATACGATGTTCATAGGAAGCCAGTGCAGAGTTGACAGAACCTGGCTAATATGTTCGTACTTCCTGGTTCTAGTAAGAACTCTAGCTGCTGCATTTTAGACCAGCTGGAGTTTGTTTATTAAGTGCAGAGCAACCGCCCAATAAGGTATTACAATAATCTAACCTTGAGGTCATGAAAGCATGAATTAACATTTCTACATTTGACATTGAGAGCATAGGTCGTAATTTAGATATATTTTAAGATTGAAAAATGCAGTTTTACAAATGCTAGAAACATGATTTTCAAAGGAAAGATTGGTATCAAATAGCACACCTAACTGATGTCAGGGAATTGACAGAGCAGTTTTCACGTGTTAGACAATGGTTATTACTTGTGTAGGTCATTACCTGAGTTTTTTGGTCCAATAATTAACACCTCTGTTTTTTTTCAGAATTTAGCAGTAGGAAATTACTTGTCATCCAGTTTTTTTATATCAACTATGCATTCCGTTAGTTTTGCAAATGTTTAATCGGGTAGCTAAGAAATATAGAGCTGAGTATCATCAGCATACCAGTAAAAGCTAACACCATGTTTTCTGATGATATCTCCCAAGGGTAACATGTAAAGTGTGAAAAGCAGCTGTCCTAGTACTGAGCCGTTTGGTACTCCATACTGTATTATGATCGATATGATACCTCTTCATTCACTGCTATGAATTGATGACTGTCAGATAAGTAAGATTTGAACCATGCCAATGCTATTTCACTAATGCCAACATAATTTTGTAATTTTGTTTTTGTACTGAAAAGAATGTTGTGGTCGATAGCAGCACTTAGATCCAGTAGCACTAATAGAGAAATACAACCACGATCGGATGATAAGAGCAGGTCATTTTTAACTCTGATGAGAGTAGTCTCAGTACTATGATACGCTCTAAATCCTGACTGGAAATCCTCAAATACCATTTCTCTCTGAGAAGGAACATAGCTGAGAGGATACTGTCTTTTTTCTAGTATTTTTGACAGAAAAGGGAGATTTGAGATCAGCCTGTAATTAACTAATTCTCTAGGATCAAGTTGTGATTTTTTTATGAGAGCCTTAATAACAGCCAGTTTGAAGGATTTTGGGACATATCTTAAAGACATTTATTGAATTAATAATATTCAGATGAGGATATATGACTTCTGGAAACACCTCTTTTAGTAGCTTAGATGGAATAGGGTCTAACATAGATGTTGTTGGTTTTGATGAAGTTTATACAATTCTTCCTGTCAGCAGAGAATGAGTGGAATTGTTCCTTAGGGGATCTATAGTGCATCTGATTCGATACTGTGGCTGAAGGCTGCATGGTTAGAATTTTATCTCTAATAGTATCGATCTTGGAAGTAAAGAAGTTCATAAAGTCATTACTGCTGTTCTGTTGGGAAATGTCTGCGCCTGTTGATGTTTTATCTTTCGTTAATTTGGCCACTGTGTTGAATAAAAAAAGATTTCATCACTCTGCTACAGAATTTCAACGCCATTAACATCAATTCCATGTGAAAGTATTACATCTAAAGTATGATTACGACAATGAGTAGGTTCTGACATGTGTTGTCTGACCCAAATAGAATTCAGAATGTAAATGCTGATCCCAATGCATGCATTTTTCATTGTCAACATGAATATTAAAATGACCAACAATTAAGACTTTATCTGCAGCCATCACTAACTCATCAAAATCAGCAAATTCTTTGATAAAGTCTGAATGGTGCCCTGGTGGCCTGTATACAGTAGCCAGAATTGACGTCACAGTGGATTTATCATTAACACTTATTTCTCTAGATAATGTTATATGAAGCACCATTACTTCAAACGAATTATACTTGAAACCAGAGCTCTCAGAAATACTGAATTACTGTAAATTGTGTAGATATTACACAAAAATGACATTTGATTTTGTTACAGGTTTGTGAATGTCCTGGTGTACTATGGGCTGTCACTCAATATTTCAGACTTTGGAATGAATATCTACCTGACACAGATGATCTTTGGCTTGGTGGAAATGCCAGCACGTACCATTACTCTCTTCACCCTAAACCGCTCACGCAGAATATCCCAGTTAGCATTCTTGGCAGTAGGCGGCCTGGCCTGTCTTCTTACCATATTCATTCCAGATGGTAGGTGAAAAACCCAAACTTTTATTTAACTAGAGTAGGTAGAGTAGCAGAGTAGATTAGGGCAGTTTATTATAATCGATCTAATTTTGTGTTAGTTGTTTCAATCTTACCAAGTTGGTATTCTTCTGAAAAATTTAGTTACAGACATTATGCCTTTGACGTTAGTGTTCCCTAGTTTGAGTTCAGCAAGTTTTAGAGAACAATGCAGAGCTTTTTTTTCCCCAGCCAAGAATCACCTTTTCTGTAGAAGTAGATTGGCCACCAGCTTTAGCACACTGTTGGTGGAAAAGTAGAATGAAAGAAGTGCATCAACATATTCAAAGACTGTAGAATACCCAAGACGTGTCACTTGTATAGTTTTGAATGGGGGGAAAATGCAACGCTCAATATAGCTGCTCTATTGAAGGAAGCCCCGCCTTCTGAGTAAAAGAGCCAATTGCTATTCGGTAAAGTCATTGCATCACTGCAGCTGCTGTTAGAAGTCCCGGTTGCTATAGAAACAGTCCGCTTTCTGGAGGACTCTGCAGCATTTAGGCTTAGTACTGCGCATACGCATTTGCTGGTCTAGCCTGAAACATACACTTTTTTTAACGCTATTGGAGCATAGTCTGAATGGTGCCCTGGTGGCCTGTATACAGTAGCCAGAATTGACGTCACAGTGGATTTATCATTAACACTTATTTCTCTAGATAATGTTATATGAAGCACCATTACTTCAAACGAATTATACTTGAAACCAGAGCTCTCAGAAATACTGAATTACTGTAAATTGTGTAGATATTACACAAAAATGACATTTGATTTTGTTACAGGTTTGTGAATGTCCTGGTGTACTATGGGCTGTCACTCAATATTTCAGACTTTGGAATGAATATCTACCTGACACAGATGATCTTTGGCTTGGTGGAAATGCCAGCACGTACCATTACTCTCTTCACCCTAAACCGCTCACGCAGAATATCCCAGTTAGCATTCTTGGCAGTAGGCGGCCTGGCCTGTCTTCTTACCATATTCATTCCAGATGGTAGGTGAAAAACCCAAACTTTTATTTAACTAGAGTAGGTAGAGTAGCAGAGTAGATTAGGGCAGTTTATTATAATCGATCTAATTTTGTGTTAGTTGTTTCAATCTTACCAAGTTGGTATTCTTCTGAAAAATTTAGTTACAGACATTATGCCTTTGACGTTAGTGTTCCCTAGTTTGAGTTCAGCAAGTTTTAGAGAACAATGCAGAGCTTTTTTTTCCCCAGCCAAGAATCACCTTTTCTGTAGAAGTAGATTGGCCACCAGCTTTAGCACACTGTTGGTGGAAAAGTAGAATGAAAGAAGTGCATCAACATATTCAAAGACTGTAGAATACCCAAGACGTGTCACTTGTATAGTTTTGAATGGGGGGAAAATGCAACGCTCAATATAGCTGCTCTATTGAAGGAAGCCCCGCCTTCTGAGTAAAAGAGCCAATTGCTATTCGGTAAAGTCATTGCATCACTGCAGCTGCTGTTAGAAGTCCCGGTTGCTATAGAAACAGTCCGCTTTCTGGAGGACTCTGCAGCATTTAGGCTTAGTACTGCGCATACGCATTTGCTGGTCTAGCCTGAAACATACACTTTTTTTAACGCTATTGGAGCATATGAAACAACATTTATGAGACAGTTGTTGTCAGATTTCATTGGTGATTTCAAATATGAAATTTAATCATAAGCTTGGCAAACAGTTTTGGAGAATTTGATGTTTCCCTGTTCAAAGAGATAGGAGCTGCACTTGCATGCCCGAGAGGCGTTTCAAAGATGGCCGAAGAGTGACATGACTTAGAGGGACTTTGACATATTTTACTAGGTACTTTAATATACTCTATCAAGAAATTCACAGTTTTTGAAACAGAAAGGAAACATACAGAAACCCCAAAGATGTTGGCATGTAATGTAAAAGTGTACCATTGGTTTTACTTGATACATAATAATAATTCCATCCAATAAACTTACTACAGGCTCCATTTCATGTAATGATGTCATAGCTCCTGAGTGTTCATGCCATTGTTTACTTCTGTTGATGGGGCAGAAGCCTGGAGAATCCAGAGCCACATTTAAAAACCTTGACTTACGCAAACTGTTTACATGTCACTAATTTGAAAACAAAAAAGAGATGGCAAGATTGGTGTGTGCCACCCTCTCTTCAGGCAATTGGGAAACAAAACCAGAGACTCTTTCTGTCATAACAAACCTCATTCATTCAGAATTTATGTCTTTATAGATCTGTCTGTTTTTCGCACTGTACTTGCCATGGTGGGCAAGTTTGGCATCACCGCATCGCTGTCCATTGTGTACATTTACTCAGCAGAGGTCTTCCCAACAGTCATCAGGTAAGCAAGGGCAAGGTTTCATAAAGTGTCATAACTTTATACTCAAAAGTGTACCATTGGTTTTACTTGATACATAATAATAATTCCATCCAATAAACTTACTACAGGCTCCATTTCATGTAATGATGTCATAGCTCCTGAGTGTTCATGCCATTGTTTACTTCTGTTGATGGGGCAGAAGCCTGGAGTATCCAGAGCCACATTTAAAAACCTTGACTTACGCAAACTGTTTACATGTCACTAATTTGAAAACAAAAAAGAGATGGCAAGATTGGTGTGTGCCACCCTCTCTTCAGGCAATTGGGAAACAAAACCAGAGACTCGCTCTTTCTGTCATAACAAACCTCATTCATTCAGAATTTCTGTCTTTATAGATCTGTCTGTTTTTCGCACTGTACTTGCCATGGTGGGCAAGTTTGGCATCACCGCATCGCTGTCCATTGTGTACATTTACTCAGCAGAGGTCTTCCCAACAGTCATCAGGTAAGCAAGGGCAAGGTTTCATAAAGTGTGATAACTTTATACTCAAAGCTGTATCACTTTCTTTCTTCAGTTTTATTATTGGATGAAATTTAAGAGAAACATTAGCTTGTCCGCAGGTTAGGAGACCTACTAGACAAGCTGCAAACCCTCCTAGACTCCACGGGCTGGTTTAATCTGTGTTTTGGAGCTTTCTATATGTGCAGCCACTCGTGTGCATCATAATAAAACAAGCAGTGCTGCTTGTCTGTTTGGCTTGTTGCAATTGGCACAGCACACTAACTGCTCAACAACACAGAATTAAGCAGTTTATGACTACAATTTTAGAGTTCTATGATTTCAGATTTAATGACAATGAAGCTTATTATAGTTCTGAATGAAGCACTGCTAACAAGTTTGTCATTTATGTTATAACACACAAACCCAGTGACAGTGACTCTAATTTCATTGGTTGCCTCTACTGTGGTTCAACTGGTAGTGCTCATCCATAACTACTGCCCCACCACTATCAAATTACAAATAACTGTGTAATATGTCGTGAATGACGTTTAGTTTACTCTATTGCACAGCATTTTCACTTACAGTGTGGACAGAGAAATTACTTATTTTGTTACTACTGTAATTGTGTTGCATCAGGCCTGGTTAGGACACAGTGTTACATTACACTTCTCCTTATTCAAACACTTCCCAGTGTTCAGTTGAGATGTGCGATACAGAAACATAAATTTCTCTTTCTCAGACAAAATGGCATAGGTATGGGTTCGATGTGCGCACGGGCAGGTGGAGTGATTGCACCCATCATCTACCTCCTGAGAAACATCAGCCGTCATGCCCCCATGGTGGTATTCGGCCTGTGCCCACTCATAGGTGCTGCCCTCACTATATTTCTGCCTGAGACAGCCCATAAGCCCCTGCCAGATACTATAGAGGATGTGGAGCGGTGAGTTGTGTGAGGTGAGAAGCTGCTAACACATGAGCTCTAGGCCAAATACATTAACCCTTGTGTTGTGTTCAAAACCCTACACTCTAAAAAAAATGGTGCTATATAGCACTAAAAGCGGTTCTTTGGCTCGTAATTATAGAGGAACCACTTTTAGTGCTATTTAGCACCTATTTTTACAGGTGCTATATAGCACCTTTGTCAAATGGTGCCATATAGAACCATAAGAGGTGCCATATAGCACTTTTTCTCAACAATGGAGCACCAATCATAACTCATCCATGGCTCCCAGCATGCATTGCTAAATGAATAAATTATGCAGCTGCATTGTCTTAGTATTTTCTTTTATTCTTACTATTTTCTTCTATTTTTGTTGTGACTTTTTACTGCCGTTTTGTGATGTTCAAAAATCATATCAAAATTATCAGAATATTTTATCACCATTGCTTAGATTCACCTGCTGATTCTTCATGTCTATGACTGACAGAATTGAAAACTCTTTATAACCCATAGTTCTGAAAGTGGTTTATACAATTTTCTCACATTGTATCGTAGAGCTGCAATAATACTAATCTCATAAAAGAACTACAGATTTTGATAATTTGCAACCAGAGATTCCAACATATGAAAAGATTTTACAATCAGTTTCTTGCCATCACATATGTGCTTCATAAACATTATTGCAACAACCAAAGAGAAACTTATTTTATCCTAAAATTAAAGTCAAGGGTCAAGTGGCAACTAAAGCAAACGCTATTCACCAAAATGGTAAGTAAAAAAAAAAATACAAAAATAATTAATTCTCAATAAAGAACTTCTGTTTTAGATACTCCAGAAATAAAGTCTAACTGGTTAGTAATGTGTGAAGTTGGTGTTGCTGTTTGTGGAGAGGTCCTTTTTTTCTGAGGTCAAAGGTCTCATGTGGGGGCCCTGGAATATTTCATTATATGTGCTATATAGCACCTTAACCACTCCAAAGAACCACTGAAAAATCTTTTTTTTAGAGTGTTTTCACTTGTGATGTTCCAGGGCAAAAATGACTCGGCCTCAAAAAATTGCTTATAAATCCCTCTTTATGCTATATTATCACCAAATATTGGATTCAATCTTTTAGTCAACTTTTTTTCTTTCATTTAGGACTGGTTTTGTATTTATATTGGCATCTGATTAATCGTAGGCCTCATTTATCTGAGAGTAGACACCTCAT